AAACCCTCCTCACAGAGCCTGACAAATGTCTGCAGAAAACACCCAGCAGGACAGGTTTCCCCAGTGGGCAGGCACTTCCAGGTAACACCCTTGGGGAAGACTCATCTCCCCTAGAGACAGGAAGCTGCGCCCAGAGGACACTCCCTTCCCTTCTCCCTACCTTGGGCTAGTGGTTCTCAACCGGAGACAATTTTGTCTGCCAGAAGCCAGCAATATCTGGAGATATTTTTGGTCATCACAACCTTGGAGAATTATCTAGAGAGTAGAGGCCAGTGATGCTGCTAATATCCTATAATGTATAGGACAGGCCCTTAAAAACACTATCCAACCCTGAATGCCCACAGTGCTGAGGTAGAAAGCTTGTTCTAGATGCAGTGGTAGGAAGGTATGACAGCTGGAGCTGTGGCAACTCTTTTGAGATCCTGAGGAGAAGGCCTGGCCTGAATGAGTGGCGGGTCTTATGCTGAAAGCTCGTGCTTCGGACTCCTCATCATGAAACACACAAAGGCCTGTTATTCAGGGCAACTTTTGCCTGGTATCTGCAGCTCCAGATATTCCCTGTTTCAGCCTGAGTGCGCGGGTCCCATCTGGTCAGCGCTGGGTTTGTATTATTATTACAGGTCTTGCACATAAGGAACAACCCCTGCCTGGAGGTCATCCAGATGTGGCAAGTGTCAAAGCCTCTGTGTGGGCTCAAGTGACACGTGGCAGAGTGCTTGCTTCCCGCCCTGCGCTCCCTGCAGAGGCAGATTTCTCCCTCAGCTTCAGCTGAGAACATCACCGCTGGACGGAGGCTGCCAGTCGCAGGCTCTCCTGCAGCTGAGTGCGACTGGACCTCAGTATTGTGCAACGGCATAAGATTAGAAGTTACGGGTACAGCTGTGGGCAGTGCCCTTAGGAGGAAGTGCATGTTCTTCTCTTTTACCACTGGCTGGAATACAGACACTTGGAAAAGGATGGGATGCAAATGTGTTGGCAGGAACCAGAGCAGCTCCTTTGGGCTGTGAGACAGAAACCACGGGCGGAAGATGGCAGAGGAAGACATAAAGCGCCTGGGTTTCAGATGATGGTGAAGCTGCCCTGATACCTGCCGTATGCGTACAGGGACTGTCTCCTGACAAGCATGTAGGCTTCGCTGTTTTATACCCCATCTCAGTAGCTGAACCATTTGGCGGATCTATGCAAGTTTCCAGGACTTTATGTGCATATTTCGTCTGTTCTTCACAACGAGGCCTGGTTTAAAACTGAGATCATTCACTCAGTTGTTCATTCATCCAACCATAGCTCAAATTTGTGCAGGAATATCTCACATTTGAGCCTAGCCCGGGCACCTTAGCCACTTGGTGAGACCCTATCTCAAAATAAAAACATAAAAGGGGCTGGGAATGCAGGGTCTTACGAAGCTCCTGGGTTTAGTCCCCAGTACTGGAGAAAATAAAGCCAAGAAAGACATCGGGCCTGCTGTCAATGCTCTTCGCCTCTGAGGCAACGCAGCACGGGCAGTGCGGGTGAACCCATTTGTTACAAGGAAAAAGGGCCCCACCGGCTGCAAAGCAGGGCTCCACCTGAAAGGGCGACAGACCCCATCTGGCTGGACGTCTGGGCAGGTGACAAAGCTGCAAAGAACACCTTTGGGGCACAGCGGCGACCTCCGGCTCTGACAGCGTGACAGGGTGCACAACGCACCCAGCACGTGGAAATGTGACCTCCCACCACCCGGGAGGGAGCAGCCCCCAGGGGCAAATGCCTCTCAGCCACTAAACCCACATGTGCAGGCTGTCAGCGGCAGCTGGAGGCCGCGCTGTGTGTGACTTCCGAGCCCGAAGGATGAGGCAGGCCTGACTTTCAGCGGCTCGGCAGGGGAACCCAGGCCTCCAGGGACGCAGGGGACCCCGAATTCCTGATGTGGGTGGAAGCGTGGGCACTGGAGCAACCACTTTGGAAAATCGTGTGGGAGAAGCCAGAACTCGAGCCAGCCAGGCGCATGTGCACCCTGAGCCCCGCAGCCCACACCCCAGCACCGGCCTGCAGAGACCCCGCTCTGCTCCCCACAAGGCTTCCCGCAGAGGTGGTCATGTCCATCCCTGCCCGAGCCGGGGGGACCCCAGTGTACCTCAGCTGCGGGCGGGGTGAATAGGGGGGCAGAGCGGCCTGAGGCCGTGGTTCCCTTCCCCACTGGATATTCTGACCTCGGGTGGCCCCTGGTGGACAGAGGTCAGGAGTGTGATGTCCCATGATGCACAGGGCAGCCCCGTGCAGCAAAGAGCCTTCCTGACAAAACACCATCCAAAGTGAAAGAGGTTACAAATTCTGTTTCTTGCCCATGAGAAGGAATGTGCCGTCCACACACATGCTCTGTAGGACAGTTAAGCAGAGCCCAGATCCTCTTTGAGGAAGTGAAATTGTCTTAGAAAGTCAGCATGTGGGGAGGGCGGGTCACCCACTGGCTGGCTCCTGATAGGCCGGCGGTCACATGTCCAACTCTGGGGCCAAATTCCAGTTCCAGTTCTAATAGTTCTAGATGCCCCCCACTTTGCCTCTTCCTCCTCCTCCTCTCTCTTTCTCTGTCTCTCAGGCTGGGCTTGAACTTGTGATCCTCCTGCCTCAGCCTCCCAGAGTACCAACAAACCTGGCTACATGCCAGTTCTTAAAACTCAGGAGCACCCGCATAGACACACCCGGCAGACTCCCCTGATGCAGAGACCCTGACTCTGACACCTCTCAATCTCGGTTTCACCCTTCAGAAAGCGGGCCGCCCTCGGGCCACAGAGAGTGGTCTCCACGCGGGAAACAGCACGAGGAGCTGGGACAATCGCTGCCCCAGTGTGAGTTCCTGGCCTTGCTGAAGACTGTGCAGCACAGAGGCGCAGAGGGAGCTTCCCGGAGAGAACATCTGCCTCATCACCCGCACAAACAGCAGAAACTCAAACTCCAAAAGACCCCTTCACCTGCAGTCATCATCAGGCTTTCCCTGGTTCCTGATGGACAGGAAGACGTAAGGGATGACCTGTGGTCACGCTGGATGGCACCATTCGTGTAGGGCAGTGCCAGCCCTGCCCTGTGCTCAGAGCAGAGCCCGCGGACACTCATGCCCTGTCCTGTAGGAATGCCAGAGAGTCCTCAGACCGGCGACTCTGGTGGCTTCTGGTCACGATGGCTCTTCTGGGAAGCTGCCACAAGGGTGGCAGTTGGGGGTCAGAGCCTTCCTATGGAGCCCTGGGGCTCGGATGGAGTTAGGGTGCTGCAGGGGCCACGCCTTCTCTCCAGCCCAGGCACCTGTATTTTCCCGAGCTGGGGGCTCTGTGGGGTGGAGAAGGCCGGGGGAGCCCTGCTCCTCCGGCTCCTGAAGTTGTTCAGGGTCCTCTGTAGGCAGAATGAAGCCAGTGTCCCCGCCACACCGCCCAGCAGTGCAGATGAACTGAGAAGGCTGCATCAGGAACACCACACCCGAGTGTGGAACCGGATGTGAGGAAGTGGCCACCAAGTGTCCCTGCAGAGGAAGGCGTGTGTCTCAGTCAGCTCAGCTCAGGCTGAACCATACAACCTGCAGACCAGTGGCTTAAGCAACAGACAGGGATTCCTTATGGTTCTGGAGACCAGGAGGTCCCAGACTGAGGTGTCGGGCAGTTTGGCTTCTGGTGAGCTCCTTCCAGGCTGGTTGGCTGCCAGCCTCGTCCCAAGCGACTTTTCCTAGGAACGCATGAGCATAAGCAAGCCCAGGGCCCTCTTCCCCATTCTGCTAGGGCAGCGAGCCCCCCTCCCTGTGGCCCCATCCCACGGCCCATGTCACCTTCACGTCCTCACCCCACCTGGGATATGGTCACACGGGGGCCAGGGCTGTGGAGCCCACGCTCAGGAGGGACACCAGTTAGCCCGGCTCACAAGAGGCACTTAGTACACGCTACGGAACCCACTGTTAAAGGGGCAGGAAGCCCCGACAATATAAACACCACTCCCTTCTTGTAACATCCTTGAATTAGGAATTGTTCTCATTTTTACAAATGAGAAGCGTGAAATGTAGCCAGCACCCTTTGATATGACAAGACTTAGGTGGCAAGGTGCAGGCCACACATGCTTAGCGTGGCTATTAAATGCAGGCTCTGGAGTACAACTGCCTGGGTTCAAATCCCACCTCTACCACGTACCTTGCTGTGTAACCATGGGCATGTGCCCAACCATCTCTGTGTTTCACTGGCTACACTCGTTATGGGGATAGTTTACCTCCCAGAGTCCCCAAATAGGAGCAGCAGAACACCCCCCACACCCCCCTGCTCCCCACAAAGTTCCTAGCTTGCCTGAGCTCACACGCCTTGGGGGTGCAGGGCTGGGCTTTGGGACCAGGGTCTCCAGACCGAGCCCACACTGGGGCCCTCGCACCACACTGCCTGACATGTGGCTGCCAACTGTCTGTCCCTGAGAGCGGCCCCTGGCTCAGTGCGCCGAGAACTCTGCGACTCAGCTCCGCCATGAACAGGACCCAGGCCGCTCCGCTGACGGTGCTCAGGTTTGCTCTGAGGAGCATCCGTTTCCGCAGCCCCCTGGGATCCGAGGTCACACTCACAGTGAGCGTGGCCCGGAAGAGCATCTCCAGGAAGCACGGGCTGGAAGTGTGGGGAGCAGGTGGGCTTTGGGGGGCAAAACTGGGATGGAAATGGCTCCACTTCCAGGTACCCATCGCCCCATGGGCACCTGCCCTGGTGATGTGCGGTGTCCTCCTTGTCCCCTTCCTGTCCCTGCGGGTGGCTCCCCTTGAATGAAGAAAGGAAAGCGCAGGACAGCCAGCATGCACCTGGGGTGGGCAGGGAGGTGAAGTGGACAGAGGCCACGCCGGGGGCACCGAGGGCTTCCAGAATGTTCCTTCATGCCCCGGCCTGACTCGCTCTTTGGATGACTGGCACAATCCTTGGACTTTTCCCTTTTTCTTTTTCAGATTAAGATAATTTAATACTCTCTGCAACTCACAGAATGGTGGAAAAGAGCTCTGTTCCCAATGCTTCCCAGCGCCAGCCCCGGAGCAGGCAGCTCATTCATCTTTATTATGCATGTTCCAGAAAAAGCCTGGCAGTGAGATCCCTCAAGGCGCCCCAGGATCCTCAGCCCACCCGGCCGCAGATGAGCAGCCAGGGCGGGCGATGTGAGGTGATGGCCTGGCCCCTGGAGCCAGCGCTGGCTCCCAGCTTCCCACGGCTGGTGGGGAGGGCGGGCAGAGTCACAGGCGCAGGGCCCCCAGGAGCAGCAGGGAGTCCCGGCCAGGAGTGAAGGGAGATGGCTGAGCCCCCGGGGCCCCTGGGCCATCAGCACATTAGAGATTCTATAGGCAACGGGCCTCAGCCAAGGTCAAAGCCGCCCCGGCTGGCAGCCGGAGAAGAACGCTCTGCGGCCACTGAGCTAAATTAGACTTATGAATAATGTGTGGGTTTGGGTCTGCTGGTGCCAGCCGGGAGCGGGAGTGAGGCTGGGTTCAGAGCTGAATCACGACTTCAGCACCCTGCAAAGGCTTGGCGGCCCTGCAAAGAGACGGATGAGGATCAGAGCAAGCGGGCTGCTTCTACCCTAGGTGCTTTGTGTGCGGGAGGAGGAAGTCATTGGCCTCGAACTTTCCATGAGTCTGATCAAACCTGGGCCTCCCCACCCTCCCTGAGCTGCCAGCCACAAACCCAGCCGGGGAGCCCACCCATAGCCCTGAGCTCTGGGTAGTGGGGACCAGGAGAGGGACCTGCAGCTGTCCAAGCCTTCAACGGGCTCCTCACCCCAGCACGGAGGCCACACCCACTGTACCCACAGGACCAGGACAGTGGCCCTGCTAACCCCTCTGGCCCTGTCTCTTGCACCCTTACGGACCAGTCCTTAGCTTATAACTCCCTGCCTCCTTCCCAGTGAACTCCTATTTATCTGTAGCGGCCTCCCTAGTTTCCCCTTGCCCTCTCACCTCTAGTAACCTGTTTTCTACAGCAGAACTGTCTCTGTTATTTCAAGATGTATGCTGATCAGAGCTCCCATCAAGTCCTCAGTAGAACCTCAGCTGTGACAGCTTGGCTCCCCATAGTCTCTTGGATTTCATATCTGCTACTTTCTGCCTCCATCAAATGCTGTAGTCACACTCAACTCCATGCTGGGCCTTAAGTTGCCAGGCACATTCCTGCCCCAGGGCTTTTGCACTTGCCCCCTCCTCCCAATGCACATGGCTTACTTCATTACCTATAAGTTTTTGTTCAAATGTCATTGCAGTAAGTAAGGCCTTTGCTGCCCTCTAATTAGGTTTCAAGTCCCACCTTGGCATTCCACTCCTCTTTTCTGTATTATTTATTTCCTTCCATACACTTGTCCAAATACATATGTGAATTATTTCCTTTCTGCCTCTCACCTTTGAAGAAGTCAGCTGATGAGGGCAGGGCGCGGGGCCATGTTGTTCATAGCTTTGTCCCCAGCCCTCGGGACAGTCCCTGGCCCACAGTTGCCACGTGAATTATCTCACTTCACCCCTCCAGGAGGCCCTCCAGCCTCCCTCACCCAGCCAGACAGGTTGGAGCCACATGGGATCGCCCCTGTACTGTGCCCTGGAAACCTTTCCTTGTCTGTTTGTGTCACTGCCCTGACTTGGATAATTAGCTGCAGAAGCACTTGGGTACTTCCGGGTTCCTAGAAGGAACAACTGGGGGCCAGGGCCTGTGTCTCCGCCTGTCATAGCCCGACTCATCGTTAGCAAAGACTTGTCCGCTGCGTGTGTGAATGAATGTGTTAATAATTCTTGGCTGAGAATGACTTGTGGGGCTGAGATGTGTCCCGCCCCAGGCCCCTCCACCTGGCTCGGGCTGCTTCACCTGCTGGCACATGGCAGCCACAAGACGGGGTGTGCTGTGCCATGGAGAGGTCCAATCTCCAATGCCCCCCTGACAGTGTCCCCCTACTGAACACCTACAAGGGTCTCTGTCACTTAGGGCCAGGGTGGTGTTGGGAAGAAGTTGCACTGGGAGATGAGATGCCACAGTCCTGTCCACGGCTCTCGAGGCCGAATGGGCCTGGATCCACGGCTCCCTGAGGGAGGGTGGCCAGCTCTTCCCAGATGGCCCAAACGGCCCTGGCTTTAGAGCCAAAGGTTCTGCTTCCCTGAGGCCTCGTCAGCCCCATGCTTCCTCTTTCCGACCACACCTCACCTGGGTTTCTGTCTCACTCTCTGCACACCGAGCCCACCCCTGCCCAGGGCCTCCAGAACTATGGGAAGGTACCTGTCCATCTGTCATTTAAGCCACCTGGTCTGTGGGCCTTGCTGATGGCAGCTCTCGCCCACAATGCAGTCAGAAGAGCCCGAGCCCGGAGGTGGCCTTGGAGCTGAATGAGGAGGATGACCCCACCTCCTGGAGATCTCTGGGGAAGACAGTTCGGGGTTCCTGCAAGGGCAGAGGCCCAGGGCAAAGGGAGAGAGTGGTGGGTCCTGGCATGAGGAGAGCACAGAGCAGAAGCGAGGTGCAAGGGGCGATGGGGTCAGATCCCTGAGTGTGCACAGCCGCGGGTTCCCCACAGCCCCCCGACTCTCCCTGTGCTTCCTCCCGGGCTGCTTTGCTTCCCAGCCTCGTCCAGGGAACCCTCCGCAGGATGCAGGATGCCATGAGGAGGAGCTGGCTCCTGGAGCCACACGGAGCCCTCCTCACCAGCCTTCACCGCACCCAGCCAATGCAGCTGAAGCCAAATGCAGCCTGACATCCTGTTTCCCCCAGGCTGGTTGCTGAGTCACCAACAAGAAAGGCCCCAGGGCTCCAGGAACCAGGATCTGCAGATGAGGACACACAAGTATTTTTACCACAATCTGTTCTGGGGACCAGAAAGCAATTTCAAGGGGGCAACAAAGGAGAATCTAAGAGCTGTGAGCACAGTGGGAACACAGGATGACAGAAGTCGCCTGTGTATCCTTAAGAGCACCCCAAAACTCCTACAGGGTTGTAGTGGGAACAATGGAACTCTGTACCCCAACTTTAGGAATTGTCTCAGAGCTGGAAAGACAGAGAATCTCTAACCCCAGACCACCCCTTCTCCTCCATTCATTTATTTAAAAATTCCCTGCTACACTAACTTGTTTCCCTTTAAAATACAGTTCACACTTCTTATCTGCCAGGGCTGCATCCAACAATTCCACCAACCCTGGGTGCAAAATATCATTTCAGAAAATTACATTCTGTACTGAACACGCACAGAGTTTTTCCCTGTTATTATTCTCCAAACAGTACATTGTGACAACCATGTACAGCAGTGCTTCGGTTCACACACCCTGCGCTCTCTGTAAAGTTCTGGTCGAAAATGGAACTGAATGAGAATCAAATCAGATCTCGCCATATAGTCAACACTGAATCTAACCATTAAACTTGATCTGGTTCTCATCCAGCTTAGTCTGTGACCAGAATTGTAGAAAGAATCAAGTTTGTGAACTGAGGTATCACTGGTCTAAGGCCATCTAGAAATGATGTAAAATACATGGACAATATATACATAGATTCAGTGCAAAATGTCATTTTATGTAAAGGCCATTGACAGCATGTAAGATTTAGTGTCTCTGGGATCCTGATATCTGTGGGTAATGGGGAGGTGGTGATCGTAGTAGAATAATTGGTTTCTAGGTAACTGTTATTATTGCTTTATATGATTTTAGTTTTTAAAAATAAGATTAGTGAAACAGGTAACAAATGAGGCAGGTGAGCGCATGGGACGGGTAAGAAGATGTGACCCTACGCTCTGCTGTTTCGCACACTCCTCTTCAACCTTTTTGGTGTCTTGGATATGTCACAAGAATAAAGTAAAACTCTAACATCGAATAGAAACAAGAGCCAAGGCAGCCACTGCGTCTCAGATGAATGACACCACCACGTGGAGGGTACAAAACAAAACAACTTCTAAGCCTCACGCTCGGGCTTTAACTCTCCATTTGAGGTCCAAAAAGAGCTGTAAATGAATCTTGAACAGTATTTTGTAAACCTATCGCTGCCGAGGTTTGGACACAACAATTCTGAAGTTATTTTGTGGGCGTTACAGAATTATTCTGTGTGTGCATGGATGTCTGGGTCGCATTGAGAGCCAGGGTTTCCACTGTGAGAGAAGAAACACGCCAGTGCACAACAGAGTGAAGAAAGAGCCCTCTGGAATTCATGGTACCAGCGCGAACTCCTGCAACTCACAGGCGTGTGAGCGTGCATACGTACGTACATACGCATGCACGCACGCAAGCACGCAAGCGCGCACCGTCCTTCCAAAGGCCAATCAGCGCTGACTCCGTAATAGCACACATTGGCGCCATCTTTGCACCTAAATACCGCTTTCCGCAGAAGGGAACCCCAGTGCTTAAGAAATGGCGCATTCCAAGGGCCAGACACTAAAATTGGCTCACTGTGCAGAAAATGTGATGCTCAAAAGCCGAGCACATCCAGAGGACACAGAAGACAGAGATGATTGGGCTGCCACTCAGACAAGACCAGCAAGCCAGGCTTGTGACCAAGACCCTCCTTGTGGGACCTAATATTTTCCTCTGAGTTTTTTTTTATTTTTTTTCAGTCTACCCTCTAAGCACCTCCATAGCGTTCCAAATTCTACGCATAAATGATTTCCGCCGTATGCAGATGAATAGCTCTGTGATATGTGAAGCCTTCTTTTCTCTGTTCAGAAACTGTTCGTCTTGTAACTGGCCTCGCGCACAGCCCAGCGCACGTCTTGAAGTGCCTGTGCCATGGTCAGTGTATGCATATTTATCATTTCCTGTCAGTGCAGACTGGACACTCACCGAGTGTCCACAGCAGGCAGCACGTTGTGCACGTTAGCTGAAGGCGCCATCGTAACTCTGAACTCCATTCATAATCCTACCTCGGTGATACTGAGGCAGAGTCTTACAGGCTGAGGCAATTTCCTGATGCAAAGCAATCAGAAGTGACACAGTCTGAGCTTGACTTTTAGGTCCAACTGTGTCCAGCCTTGACCTTGTCCTGTATAAAAGATGTGCCTATACTGAATCCCTGAAACTTGTATTACTGTCAATGGCAAAAGCGTGAACATCAATCACCTTTTAGGGTGGAAAGATGGAACTCAGTTAAGGATCGTGACAGAGGCTCCTAACTGGAATCATGCACGTCCCTGTCAGAGATACTGAGGCAGCCAGGAGGCTTTAGCTTGCACCAATGGAGGATTCTTGGTTCCTCCTTGGCTGCAGCGTCCAGCTTTTTCTGGACTGAGTGGTTTCTGGATCCTCCAATTCTACAGCCTCTGATCCTTAAACCAGTTTAATAAGCCCCCTTGAGTAACTACATATATCATATTGATTCTGTTTCTGGAGAACGCTAACCAGTCAGAGGCTGTGTGAAGACAGAGAAGATTAGAGCTAGGGCCACAGGCTCAGAGCACTGGGGGCTGCCAGTTGTATGTGATATCTTGAATTTTGGGGAAATGAAAGAAATTATGAGCCTACACCATGACACAGATGCTCCTGTTTCTTTGTGCTTTGAGCCTTCAGAGCAACTGAGCTGTGGATGGAGGCTGGGGAGACAGGCAGCAGGACTCTGAGGGGGATGTGACCTTTCTGCACTTGGCCCTCAGCAAATTCCTCATTCCTGTGTGGAGAGCTGTGCTCTGTGAGCTGCAGATGCATCAGCACAAACCAGAGACCTACAGGGACAGGGACAGGGACAGGGACAGGGGGAGGGAGGATGCAGGGTGGGCAGGGCAGGGAAGGTGCAGTGTATTGTCTAGCAGGGCATGGAAAAGGCTGTGTCCATCGTGGGCAGAGCTCTCCAGGTCTGCAAAGCCAGAAGGAGCATCGTTAGTGACACTGGCCCATTGTCAGTTCTCCTCTGGTTGGCTACACAGCCCGTGGAACCTGCCGGTGGGTCAGCCCGGCTCCCAAAAGTCTTGGCCCCTTGTCCGTGGGAAGGATGCCTTCACTAGGGATTCCGGCAAAGCCACTGCTGCCTTCCTTGGCCTCACAGGACTCTGCCACCTTCGCCTTCCCGGTCACTGGGAGATATGGGAGTGGGCGGGAGTGGAAGGGGTATTTGAATAGAACCTTCTTTCTCATGTCACATGGGTACAAGATAAGAGAGATCATCTGGGTCATCTATTGGGAATACATCAATGTTCACACAGCAGATGACCTACCTGCAAATCAGCTGTAATTGAGAGGCATCCTGCAGACTTGTAAGGCAGGTCACATGGCCGGCTGTGGTAGCTGCTAGCTCACACCTGGAGGGGAATAGATGTGGGGAACCTCCCTTGGGGCCCAGAACCACCAGGAAAGAAGACTGTCAAAAAAAAACCAGGATTGCTGTGGCTCACTGTGGGGGTGCAGCCACCTCCACAGAGGTGTCTTCATCTTTTTCCCAGAAACCTATGTGTATGCTGATTTGCAAAGCCAAGAGGACTCTGCAAATGGGATTAAATTAAAGATTGTGTGTGTGGGGGGGGCTTTATCCTGGGTTATACAAGTGCATGTGAGAATCACAGGGGTCCTTGTAGGCAGGTGACAGGGAGCCGGAATCCAGGGAGACACAATAATAAAGCAGGGGAGAGAGGGAGGAGAGAGACTGGCCCGCAGACAGACAGACTGAGAAACTGACCGAGATTAGAAGACAGTACAGTGCCTGCCTCAAGGATGGCAGAGGCCACAGCCCGGGAATGTGGGCAGCGTCTAGCACCTCTCAAAGCAAGGAACAGTCTCTCTCCTCAAGAACCCAGGAGCCCAGCTCTATTGCCCCTATGTATTACTCACGTTTAAGTTGTTGGGACAAAATGTCTGACGTAAACACTTTAAAGGAGGAAAGAGTTATTTTGGCTCATAGTTTCAGTAAGTGCTCAGCTGGTTGCAAGGCAGAAACATGGCAGACATCGGTGGTGAAAGGTCTGGAATTTTGCACATAGCCAATAGCTGTTAATTCCTCCTCTTCTTCGTCCTCTTCCTCCTCTTCCTCCTCCTCCTTCTCTTCTTACCTTGCAGAATAGCAGGACTTGGCTCACACATGTGCTCTGTTTGGCCACATACTGTTTTTCCCAGTTAACTCCTTAACAGCAGAAACCATTACAATAACCAGCGTTGATAGAGTCCCTGCCTTGGGCCGGCTCTGTTCTAAATGCTTGACGTGTTCTCCCGTCTTGTGTTTGAAGACACTCTACCAGTGGGAGCCTCTCGTGTCTATTAGGGCACCAGTATTTCTTTCAAAAGAACCTTTCCTGTATGCACATCAGCTGCCCCTGCCCAGCTAGTGCCTCTAGGAAAGCAGATGATCTGGATTTGTCGGCCACATGGACTGTGTGGCCTGAGGGGAGAGGCAGGTCAGTCACAGACAACGACCAGTCCCAGCCCTGCGCAGGCCACAGCACAACCTGGCGATGGAATATTCCGTGGTGCGGGGCTACGTCAAAGGCTGCTCTGACAGCTTAGCTGTGAAATGTACATGTCGGCGGTCAGGATGAGCCAGGGGAGAAGCAATAGGGAGCAGGTGGAAATTTCCAGAAACCCATTGTGGCTGAAGCATAAAGGCGACAGGAAAATGAGACGAAATGAGACCACAGGGACTGAGGCCTGGAACATTGCATCAGCTCCTCAGGCTGCTGTGACAGATCGCTGCAGCCTGGGTGGCTTTAAACAACGGAACTTTACTCTTGAACTGTTCTTGAGGATAAAAATCCAGAAGCAAGGTTCAGCCAGGGCCACTGCCCTTGCAGGCCTGGGGAGGGTCCTCCCCGGCCCCCTCAGCTCCAGGTGACTGCCTTGGCCCCAGGCGAGGTCACTCTGATCCCTTCCCCTGGCCTTTCCCGTCTCCCTGCTTCCTTGTGTCAGCAGCCAGTGGACTTGGGCTCCCTCCAAATCCCCAGAGATGCTGTCCCAGCCCTCACCCAAATGTTTTTGTCGCCTGTGTGGATTACGGTCACATTCACGGGTACCTTGTGTTAGGATGTGGACGTGGGTTTTGGGGGATACTCTTCAGTTCCCTACAAACATTTCCCCATGATGTTTCCAAAGTATTCTTTTCTAGCAGCAAACCAGGGGAGTCCTCTGCTGTCCCCGTGATGGAATGAACCAGTGGATCTCTGGAAGTGTCATTTAACACGCCCAGGGGTCTCCTCCCCACACTGGGTGGCCCAAGAGGGATGAAATTCAGTTGTGGGTCCAACCTGTATGTCCTCCCCGCTGAGATTGGTAGATGTGTTTCAACTGAACAGCCAGCGTGAGGATCCCAAAGTAAAACCCTCATGAGGACCCAGACGCCTCCAGTGAAGTTATCTCCAAGTTAAGAAACCCCGCTGTGAGTGTGGGTCCAGCCACCTCCTCCTCGCCCTCTCCGATTCCTCCCCTCCTGCAGCTCCTCCTAATGTGGGCCCGGGTCTGCGCCAGGCTAAGCCTCCGCGGGGTCTGCCTCACTCACGGCCGCTGGGCAGCACGAATTAGCCACGGAAAGCTCCGGCCCGCTCTGAATGGCTTCTCAATCACTCCTCATCTTTTTCCAGCCGTGCTAGATTTAGACTTACTTTTCTCTCTTTCTTCTTTAGAAAGGAATTCATGCATTATGGATGCGCACTATTTCTTATTCAGTAGCCCAGACTCGCTCTTCTATCAAAAACGGCTCCTGGACTGTGCTCGCGGAAATCAAGGCCCGTCTCTGAGCTCAGTCTCTTGGCCTGCAGCCCTGATGGACGCAGCCCTCCAGGGATAAAGGGCTGCAAATGTGAAACCGCAAGGCAGACAGACAGACAGACAGGCACACACACACACACACACACACACACACACACACACACACACTGGGAACCTGCGATGCCAAACACTGGGATCCTTGGAGTTTGGGAAATTCTCACTGGGCAGGAAATGGGGGTAATTTCAAAGCCTAAGATAACCACCCAGTCTCTGCTCCAGGTGGCCTGATGTCTGGCCATTTCTGTGCCCGGTGCTGGGCAGGCAGCTCCCCTTTCTTCACTCTCCTCAGCTTGCTCTAAAATGGGGGGGGGGCATAAAGAGCAAAAGTAAGGGACACCCCGAAACTAAGTAGTGCAAAGGCGGCAACAGGAATCGCTTAGTCAGATTCTCTTTTGTCTATCCCCGAATGTACTATGATCAACGATGGTAGCTAGGTTTACTCGGAAACTAGCTTTTTAAACCCCTGCCATGGGGACATGAAGGCAAAGGACGAGACACAAACTGCTCACTGCCACATTGCAAAGCCTTCCTAGTAATCATAAAACTCCCCAATACTGATCCCAAGGACTGATACTCAGTGAGCACAGAGCATACCTACATCCTCTGCATGGATTCCCTTTTTTAACTAGGGCTATGACTGCCCCCACTTTACAGATAAGAGAATTGAGGTTCAGAGAGCCTGACATTTCCAGTGTGACCACAGCTAGTACTGTGTGTGCAGAGTTGATATTTAGGCCAAAGCCTCAAATGTACATTAATACTATTTACTTATTTGGTACTGGGATTGAACTCACGACCTTGAGCTTGCCAGGCAGGTGCTCGTGCCACTGAGCTAAATCCCCAGCCCCTCCATTAATACTATTCTAGAAAATATATACTGCAGCTATGATGTGGGATACTATCCAGCCATTGAAAAAGTAGCTGCATACTGACATGGAGAGCTCGCCGGTGTATATAACTTTAGACAAAGTGTTTAAATCCACAAGCAATTACCCTGTCACGGAAGTGAAGTCTCCTAATTTGTATATAGCAATTAACGATTTTTCTTTTCAGCTGGGAAGTGAATAAAATCGGCCCACATGAATGATTAGCCTTCTATGAGTTTTCAGTCTTTTAATGCTTTCCAAAAGGTATTTACGGTCACTGCCACTCGTGGAATGTAAACTTCTTGCAAAGCTCCCACGAGTCTCCCCGAGGAGACTCACAGCGGCTTGATGTTTAATATCACACTTAAAGAAACAGCTCCTGCCCCGGAGTCCATCTCAAGGCAGCCACCAGCACGATGGCTGCCCAGACCAGGGCTGCTGTTCCTGCCCGGGGGAGTGGCACCCTAACCTGACACCGTCTGTGTGAGTGATGGAGGGAAATAGGTGCTCAGAATTACTCAGATATTTGAATAAAGTGAGCTGACACCTCACCGGCCCATGTGGGGCATTTCTGAATGATGTTCATATTGATTTCAGTGGAAAGCACAAATTAAAAACCTTTAACTGCCTTGCTGATCCATCTCTCTGCATCTAGAAACTTCTGTGGCATTGTGTATTATAACAACCAAAATGTGACTGTCGGAGACAAGGGAATCATAGCACGAGGACAGTTATGTAAATGAGAAACCACTGAAGCCCATGCAGGCGCAGACACTGTCAGAGCGCATGCAAGTCATCACCATTGTCATTGTCATTACTGTGTACTGTGCCTCCATGTCACCACCTCTGTGGAGCTCTTCGTGTTTTGACTGTCGGATCAAACACAGGCTACCCAAAGAAATTTGACTTTCATAATCTTTAAAGTATAAATACGTCTAATACCATATTTGGTACACATACTAAAAAAGAGCTATTTATCAAACCCATTGGTCACAGGTGTCCTGTGTTTTTCTTTACTAAATGCAATCACCTTATCTACACACATTATTTAGCCATCATGAGCGAGGCAGGTGTTATTATTGTCATTTTATAGTTAGGGGTGACAGCACCTGAGACAGAGAAGAACTTATAACACGGCAGTGATGCTCTGTGAAACCTGGGAACAAAAAGAAAATAAAATGTTGGAACTGCCTGCCATTGCAAATGAGGAAATAAAAAAGAAGTGACAAGTGTGTCTTAAATCCAAGCGCGGCAACAGTGAGCCTGTGATCCTGAAAATGGTGAAGCAGGACTTGGGGTGGAATGGGTATTCCGTGGTTGGAGATGAAAGGCACGGCCTCCCAGAATTGCCTGAGGCTCTGGGGAAGCCGCGAGGCGCTGGTAAGCAGCCATGAGGACTCCGCGGGGGGCGGCAGCCGGGGCTTTCGGAGCCCAAACCAGGCCCATGCACGCCGCAGCGTCCTCCCCCGCAGCCCGCAGGGAGCCAGCTTGCAGGTGCAGAGTTCAGGCAGGACACCTGCACAAGGGACTCAGGCTTGTGGGCTGGCAGTTTCTGCCCCGCCCAGCTTTCCATACCGGTCACCAACAAGGAAGGCCCATCTGTCTTCCACCAAGTGCACGCGGTGCCCTCCACGCCCACGCGCCCTCCTGCACCAGGAGCTGCCACAGAAGCTCCTCTTCCCTGGCGGTTTTCACACCACCCGGCACGGGTGCTATTTTTATTTATTTCTTTAACGTCTCCCCCACCCCGTGTGCACACCTCCAACAGACAGCTCTCTACCGACAAGGCCTTCCCTTAGCCTTGCTCACAGCTGCACCCAGCATCTAGAGCGATTTCTAGCACCCGAAAAGTACTGGGTGTGGACACCATCCTCCAGAGGGTCTGCCTGTCGCCTGGATGTACAGAGGGGAGGAGGGGAAGGACGGACCTGCCGCTGTTCATGCCAAGGCGCTCCTGTCTGGCACAGGCCCTTCTATCAAGGACCCATCGGCCTTATTTGTATCAACTCTGAGTGGCCATTGTAAGCCAGTCTCCAAAGTGCTTATGTATCTGTGTGTCTTAAATTGATCTTTTTCCCCAGTAAACACTGACTGATACATGTGTGTTGAGTGGATGAAAGGATGCAGCTTCCGTTTCTGCCCTAAAGGGAAAGTCCCCCCCCCCCACATACTTTCTGCTTCCCAATGGCTGCAATTCTCAACTTGGTAGTGATGGTATCTGGTCCACACCGATAAGGACAACCCCTTGGAATAATGGAGCAATCAGACAGCAAAAAAATGGGTCCTTGGAACTGGGGGGCACACACCAGCCCTGGGCTACTTACACCTATGAGAGCCAGCAGAGAACATGAATGTGCTTAGTTTAAACCATCAGACTTTGAACCTGGTGGGGTTTAAATATGAAGCCCCCCAAAGGCTCGTCTCCACTGTAGCAATGATCAGAGGTGGGGCCTGGACGTGTGACTGGGTCCTAAGGGTATCCGTTTCATTGATGGGCTAATCCACTGGTGAGACATGGTGAGTTCACAGTGAATGGGCTACCAGAAGGGGGGGTTCAGCTGGAGGGAGCAGGTCCCCAGGGGTGTGCCTCTGAAGAATGTGC